ATCCTACATACTGGTCCTTTAATGATCTTTTATGATTACAAAGGGCAGCAAGAAAAAGCCGAAAATATATGACTTTTTTGGATTTACATTGTTGTACATATGTAATACAATATCAGTATAAAAAAAATTGTGTATAATATGTCAAGAGCAAATTGGCATGTAGTCGTTTAGTTTGCTTTGTTTAGATGAGTTACAAAAGCTTCTTCTTGTTCTAAACCTTCACATCCTCTTTCTTGGAAGTTGAATAAGACCAGTAATTTGCAGTGTCCAAAGGTGACCATTCAAATGCTCCTGACATTTAGGAAATTGTCCTTTTTGTTCACCCATCTCTTTATTTCACAGCCTTCTTCTAAATGCCATTTCACCCTTTTCATTCCACTTTCACCCTGTTGATCTCGCTTCCTCCTTTCTCCTTTCTTGTTCCATCTAGGTCGACCACTGACAGGCTCGTGGTTGGAAAGATTTGCTTTTTTAGCTTTTTCTGTTCATATCCCATGTCCATTTCTTTAGAAATGTTGAAGTGCGCCACTTATAATTCTAAAGGTTTTGATGGCGCTAAGTGCTAATGCAGCGTTTAAAAACTGCTTTTTGGTCTTTGTGTTCACTTTCATAATTTCTTTCTCAGTGACTAATTTGGTCCCTAATGTTTTTGTCCCTATTTTGATGTTCGGTTTTGCTTTACATTTCTTAGAAGTAGTGTCAATCAAACAGCACAGCCATTTTTCTTTGTTTTTTATTTTTGTATTGATGAAGTTAGAGTTTTAGTGGGTGGCGCTCCTAGCACTTTCAGGCACAATTTCTATCACTGCTAAAGCAAACTGCCCAGTTCTTCTTTTTATTAAAAATAACCTGTCAACCCCAGTATCTAGCACAAATTCTCCATGATACCAGAGATACCAAATAAAGTCAAAATTTAATAGATTTTGAATAAAAGATGCGGAATTTCTCTCAAGGATTACGTTTTGTTAAGAAAAAATTCTGCCCAACAGAATAAAGGATATTCACACAGTATAAATCTTCTCTCAGTCATTTAATGTCAGTGGGGTAGTTGTTTTAACACAGATAAGTGCTGCACCTTCAGAGCTCAGTGACGTCCACGGAGGGCAGTAATCTGCACCCAGAGACCCAGCACAGTCATTAGCGATTTATAGCTGCCTACATTTTTCCTCTTTGGAGAGCCATTAATCTCAAAACAACTCATACACTGTATAGACTTTCCAGAGTGTTTGTTTACTCTCTTTCTCAGAGAAATTGTTTCGCCAAAACTATTATATATCTTCCAGACAGTTTACGTTTGCAAGGGAGATAAGCTTTTGGAGGTGTGCAATTTTCAGCCTCTAGCTGTGATAGCGAATGGCCTCTGCAGTGCTGGGATGTGTGTTTAGCCGACTTTGTTGGAAGAGACAACAGATATTCTCCAAAGAGGATGGGTCCTGCACCGCGCAGCATGGATGCACTTCTTTCTCTGCTCATTAGGGTTGAACTATAAGACTGCTGGGCCACAAATCTGCACCGGCCACATCGCCTCACCCAGTAATCGATCCCCCCACGGCCACACGACACAGGACACACACAAAGCACACACAGAGCCAGTGAACCAAAGCTTATGTACAGAGTAGCAAGCTGTGCAGTGTCCAGGCAGGGTGTTAGTTGGTAATCATTAACACAGACTCCCTGTTTGCTTTGCCTCTGTCCCGGCTATATGTCTGTTAGCTTCCATGCATGTGGCGAGTGTGTTGTCAACAGTCCAATGTGCCTCACTGCACTTTATTTACACTGGGTCTCTCTGTAGACACACATCAACACACTGTGCATATGACACATTACACATATGCCCATACAGTACACACACATTTGACATCTGTTAACGCCCGGAGTCGCATATCTCGCAGTTTACAGTTGACTTCCTGTTCTAGCATCTCACAAATGAGTGTAGAAGACAAATTGTGTTGTAGAGTAGAAAATGGCTCATAATTAATCCGTAGACTAAACAAGCAAACACTTTGAAGGTAAATTCAAGGATTTCCTGGGGAGAGGATTGATTGGATGCGAGATGACCCCTTCAAGGAAATGTGTGTGTGGCTGAAAGGGCAGACAGGAAGCACAGAGAGGACAAACATACCAGCAGGGTGCTGCAGAAGTCTTACTCATAAATTCCAATTTTTGTTTGTTTTCATGGCTGAGGTCTAGTGTTAGAGGCCACATAGCCTAATGGACTATATTGTAACTCAGCAGTCTCAGGTTTGATTTCACCACCTTCCATGGATCATGTCAGATGTGTTCTTGAGTAAAACTGTACCTTTAAAACTGTGACATTCTCACTTAAACACTTATTTGATCACAAACTAAACATTATAAATAAGTATAACTCCAAAACATTCTACCCAGAAAATAGCATGAATAATATTGCCTCAAAGGTATGCTGTTGATCACATGGATGATCCTGCCAGGAAAACAAGGGAAAAGACCAAAATATGTCGGTGAATGGTGAAGAATGTAGATTTGTAATCTCGTTGACTTTGGTCTGATAGTTCTGATAGATTGAAATCAAAATCTTAAACAATTTAATCAATTTTAGTTTGGCAAAGTTCTTGTCATGGTTATACAGCATTTAAAGTTTGAGAAATGTAGCTTATTTTGTTAAATTTGAAATGGTACTCAGTCTGTAGCCTGCCTGGAATCTTTTTTTCTGCAAACTGTTTTCCAGTAATATAACTTTTTCTCTTCTCTGGATACATGTTGCCCTTTTCTGTGCTAGGTAATGGCGGTGGATGTAATGTGCAGCTGCTGCAGTTGAGTTAATGAGTAAGCCGATTAATAAATGATGTACTTTACATCTAAACATGTAGATAATATTTACTTTCCATACTTATCATCTTTTGGCAGTTATTAGATGTAACAAAGGGCTGGCTGTTGTGGTTCATCATCACCTTCTCTTGGCTGAAAACTGATGCTGGCAGTAGGCTTAAGTACTTCTACATTTCATGCCAATAAAGCACCATTAAACATCCACACCTCCATCAAGTCAGGTGCCATTGGCCTCGCCGTGTCCATTTGAGTGGTCAGATGAGACTCGACTGCTTGGCAGATTTTTGCTGCTGGTCCTTCTTTGCCTTCGCATCTGCTGCCCCCTCCCTGGGAGATCCGAGTGCCACATCTGGTCGAGCTGAGAGTCGAGGGGACGCCAGGCAGCTCCTTGAGTCAGAACATTAGCATACACTTACTCTGGGAATGCCCTTGACATGCTGTCTGAAGAATGGCACGTGAGCAGCATCAAATACACCGGCGGGACCCGAGAAGAGACAGGAATATGGAGAGAGGGGATGGAGAAGAGGGAATAAAGAAGAATAAGAGAAAATGACCAGCAGTTATAGCTTTAAAAGGGGAGTCACATCTGTAATCATATACAGTATAAATGCCTCATTACCATTATTCATTAATCACACCATGTGATGTTATTAGGCTTTTTACAAGTACTTTGTCTTATTCTAGTAGAAAATATTGGCTGAATGCTCCACAATAAAAGAATACGTTTATTGTTGGTGTGTGAAAATGCACACCTAATAGTACCTTCAATTGGTATTTGTTTTCATGGAGCAGAAAGTGTGAGTGGGTGGAGAAAATGACAGAAAAAAGTGAGCTGAGAGATAGAGGGGATGTGTGCATTTTGTCTGACAGACGAAGAGCAAGCGAGGGAGAGATAGAGAAAGAGAGAAGCTGGGGGAGGGGGCTGGAGTAGGTGGGCGGGAAGAGAGGAGGCGAGTGTCACGGACAGAGAGAGAGAGAGAGAGAGGCAGGGAGGGAGAGAGAGAGAGGAAGGAATAGCGAGCTGTTCGCTTGCCGGAGCTGTTGACTGGGTGTTCGAGTGTGTGATCGTGAGTGCTTCTTGAGCCGTCGTGTGAAAAAAAAGGGGGGGACATTTCTTTTTGAGCCTTTGTTCTTTCTTTTTTTTTCTTCTTTAAGTGCCACATCAAGCTCCCTCAGCGAAAAGCAGAACTTGTCTAAACCCCCTCCTGGGATTGTTAAGAGGACCCAGGGAAGACAGCGTGCTGCCAGGTAAGAGAGGACTGTATGTATGTATGTTGATGGTGATAGCATGTTTATACAGTCAGACAGGCAAGAGAGCTTTTGTTGTTTGTGTTGCTGCTCTGAGAATGTCATGCCTGTTTGAAATAGAGAGAACATGCTGTATTTGTGCACGTGTGTGTGTGCGAGCATGTGCACAAACGTGGCTCGCTGGACAACTGTACAGTGATTGTGATTGAAAGAGTCAAGTCGTGTAGAGGAAGAGGAGGAAGATAAGGAGGAGGTGTCTTTTTGACAGCAGCTCATGCAAGATGACATATGTCAGGGGATGTCAGATTTACAATGACAGGGATTACTCAGAGGGGGGGGGGTAAAAATTCCAAGATCAGATCAATTTTGGGGGAACTGGAAAGACTTCTCACATTCTTGTTTTGCAACTGTTCCTTTTACCCTAAAACATAGCGTCAAATACTATCACTAGATAGCAGAGTTGACATTTCTACATATAATCTGAAGTATCTGTGTGACTCATGTTTCGTAGGTCCTTGAAAACCGGTTAGAATATTAGTTTGTGAGCAGTCCGATTTGTGCACGGGACCTGGATGGATGTGGCTCTACAGCTGATAGGATCCATGGCATTAGTGACAGGCACGGATAAGCAGACTTCTACGGAGGGTTTTGTCCCCAGGCTGTATAGAGCAGTATAGTGAGAGAAGACAGTTACATATATATATATATATATATACATATATATATACAGCAGTTGTATCTATAGTAGTATACGATGGCTTCCTAACCCAGGGCTTGCTTTGTTTGTCATATAATGAGAAGTTATATTGTAATCGAATCACTGCACTGCCTTCCTTGATGTTTGTCATTTCCCCTTTGTCGTTCCTTATCTCGCTCTCTCTGTCGTCATTATCCCAGATTCAGCTGAAATGAAGTCGATCTCTCTTCCTTTTCCATCCCTCCCTCCATTCATGCATGCTGACGTACAGTAGACTATTAAACAAAGACAGTCTAGAGGGCCAGAGGCTGAACAAAGCTACTCTGTTCTTAATGACATTTGCGCTTTTCATTTTTTTTCTTCTCTCATTTAGAAACATGAAAGAGGTGAAGGTTGGTAGATTGTGGGGCTTCAAATAGCCCCCATCCATTTGATTCCATTGTCTCATGCTGGAACAAGCCATGAAAGCCAACACGCAGTTCCAGTCTTTTCAAACGCAAAACTAATTCAGTTGGATTTCAGTTCCATTTTGACTTCATTTTTCCACCACCTCGAATTCTTTATTCTCCTACAGGGTCCAACAAATCCTATTCACATCCACTACACCTTTGTAGCTCCTTGGAAAATGGATTAGTACGTCCAATAGTGGACCTGAACAATCTTATTCATGCCATTGTTACCATTAGATTTATGTGTGAGTCATTTATGGAAGCTATTTAATATGATTCATTCCCTTTGAGAACAATTGAATCCCTTTCTTGTAAAATATTGTGTTCAATGGCATTGTCATGTGAACTGTTTGTTGCGTGTGTGTCCATGGTGTGTGATGTGTATCCAGCTGTGAGATCTCCCATTGCATCAATAGTTAATGAGCGTCTCTAGCACTCATTCATACGGCTCATTCACACTGTTTTTGTTTATTTAAGGGCTATAAAGCTTTGAGTGACACGTACTGTACTGTACCATTATGAAGCTTAAACACAGCTCAGCCTGAGTTGAGTTTGGCTCTAGGCAACAGGCTGACCTTCACACAACCTTGCAGTGGGTTTGTTATTAAGGGGTGGCAACATTTAAGAGTAATGACTTGTCTCATGAATCTTATAAAAGAGGAAGTGAAGGACATAAAAGTGTGATGGAGGAGATGAAAATTAGACTTTTGAAATTAAATCTGTTATTTTTTTTTTGCCAAAACACAATATATTTGTGAATCTACACCTTTTTCCTGTATGTGGGTGTTTGTGTGTGCAAGAGTTCTGACCGGATCACCCCATCCATGGATGTTACAGCTTTCCTGCCCTGAGCGGCAGGCAGCTTCTTTCGGTCCACTGGATGCAGTCCGCTCTCTCTCCGTGACTCATTGCCTCATCCACTCTGATTGGCCGGCTTTTCTACTCCGGGGAAAGACAGGACCGAGAGGGGTTGGCCTCTCATGAGCAGGGATCAGCCGTTCTTTTCACACAGGATCCAACTGGATGCACATTCACAATGTGTTCGGTCTGAATGTTAAAACACAGGCATGAAGTTAGGGCAGAAAGATCAGGAAATGCTGCTCCCATCTGCTGCCGTCTCTTTTGTGTCACAAACTGGCTGCCTCAGACGTTCACGTATCTGAGCCAAACAAGTATTACGGAGATCACGCTTCTCCAGTGAGGCGATATTCTATCTAGCCCCATCCACAGTCATGTTCTGTATCCATCTAAGGGATGTATTCAGGCCTCCAGCCCCCCCATCACTTTGTAGATGACGCTGTCACATGTGACAGCTCTGAAGCAAACAGGGCGTGTAGCTCCCTGCCTGCTGAGACTCTGGCTTGTTTGCCTCTTACAGACAGACCCGGCTGAGACAAGGTCCAAGCTACTCCACCCGGTCACCCAGCCAGCAAAATCTGATTTTTTTTTTTTCCTTTGTGGGAAGAGCCTTTGTGCTCAGGTCATGCAGCACTGATTCAGAACCATGGACAGCGCTCCTGTACAGAGGGAAAGAGGTGGCAACAAGCAGAGGAGGGTGAAATTTCAGCACCACCTCTTGTGGACAGCTCCAGCAGTCTATACAGTCAATGATCAGACAGACATGGAGAATTCAGGAATGACAGCTAAATAATGAGACGCTCACAGTGTCAAAAGCAGGGAAATGATGGAGGATATTGCCTTGTTTGTAAAGATGATTCAAAAAGGGATTAGATAATATACTGTGGGGAGTGACAGATTTTACATTCTGGTTGCAGTAGGCTCTGTAGCTGAGGAACGGGCATGGCAGAATATTCACCAGCTTTAATCTCTTTGTGTTTACGAACCAACACTGACTGTTCACGGGCGACAGTGCTCAGTACTTAACCAGGTAGCCTGTATAAATAATTACAGTTGCCAAATATGCAAAGCTTACAAACAGGATATGTGCTTCTTTGCCACAGTGCATGTAGTTCACTGGAGCATTAAATCTTTGTTGGCTTGCTGTCAGGGATATTTGTGACGCACTTTCCATATAGCTCTGTAGATTGATGTCCTTTTAATACTCAAGCAGAGTTTATGAAAGATAGTCAATGAAGATATGGCAGACTGAAAGCCACGCAACCAAGACTTCATTGCTACATCTACAAAGAGGTTGCTGAGCTTTTTTTGTTCAGTTTGGTTTATTGACACCATTCTCATATAGAAATACAACATATCAGACTTTATCAGGGACAGAACAATAAAGTCCTGGACTGATGTTCATTGTTGTCTCTTGTGTTCAAGACAGAGACAGGCATTCAGTGTCTAGATATATTAGATATATTATCATATAGTTTATATAATAATATAAACACACAAACTGTACACCTTTTTTGCGAAACCAGACAAGGTAAAAAGTGTCACGGCACCATGTTGTCCTTTTATCTCAAGAACTGTTTAACAAATTCCTGAATATACCTGTGAATATAAACTTTTAAGTTCTGATTTACACTATCCATGCTCTTTCTGTAGCTGTTATACTGGTAGTGTGTAGGAAATCAACTTGGTGAATATTTATTTCAGTCAGTCATGTGGAATGGATTGTTATGTGAATATAGAATATGTACAGCATTGGCATCTAAGCTCTGATATTGTCACTCCCGAAAGGAAACACAGCAGGGAAAGTGAGGAGCGACAATAATAACTTCGCAAAAGTAGACAAGAGTTGCAATTTATCCTTAAAACAGCTATAGCCAGTAAAAAGGGGAACTACTACAGTTTACAGTATAGTATAGTAAAAAACAACCCATTTAGCTCTACAATCCTAACTGTAGATTCAGCAGTTGTTGTTGCTTAAAGACACCAAATGCAGACTTGTGTATTAGTTCCCTTCTTGCAAAGATCACGACCACAAATCTTGACTCCAAGCTTCTTTTTTTTTTCCAGTTTAGCTTTGACCTGCTCAGCATTATAACCAAGACGAACACTCTCTCCCATAGCAACATGCTTCATTTCACACTGCAAATCATTGTGATTAATCTGCTTTGGCTGTAATAAATGTGATGTATGAGTCAGTTATGGCTTTGACGATCCATTTTATTGATTTTAACGTGCATAGCATTTTAAAACGCCAGATTCAGATTTATTGTATAATCTGAAGTTAAGAACACTGATCGATACATTACATTTTTAAAATAACTGGGGCGTGTGTTCTGTAGCTGGTTGCAAATCACCCGCTCTTATGAATTAATTAGACGTGTTTTAAATCTTCTGTGTGATAACTGTGAACACAGTCAGAGGGTGAAAAATCAGATGTGAAAATGAGTTATTTCTGTAAGGGCTGTTAGATGAAAGCTTACTGTAGTCTGATCTCTGATCTTTGGCAATGGAGTTCACAGGAAAGAGGGTTCTCAGAGCCTCGTCACTGCACTGATACACTAAGAGAAGCCAGAAAGATAAGAGCCACTTCTGTTCATGCATTTACGCACACACGTCCACACACATATGCATACATGAGCTCAGCTTGACATTGATTTTGTGCCTCGCTGCATGTCCTTCAAGTACAAAGGATCTTCCCCACCTACACATCCCGACAGAAACAATAAAAGATGCACAAGTCTTGCCCTAAGGCTTCTGTTATCACCAGTGGACAGCAAACCACCCGTCACTCTCTCTCTCTCTCTCTCTCTCTGTCTCTCTCTTCCTCTCCCTCTCTCTGCTTAACCCCCATACACATGTCCCCTAATTGAGATGGCTAATAACTAACCAGGGTCATTTGTATATGTATGCATTAGCATAATTGAATAGGCATGAGTTAAGTGTTTTCCACTGGTGTGTTAATAACACGGTCCAGAAAAGGCGAATACATGTGCAGC